AACAACTCTTTTTAAATATTTTAATTTTATTGATAAAATTTGGATAGTTAAAAAAAAAACTAATTTTATTCTAGTGTTGCTAAAAACATACCTCATAATCCTTTCGTATTCTCTTAAAATTAAATAAATCATCAAGAATAAGAAGACCAAAGTCATAAGCACACAAAAGGAAATAAATTTTACTCTTATCATATGAAATCGATTGCATGATTTATCTCTAAATTTAACAATCATTCTCCTTTAAAGAGATTTAATCTTAAAACTTTCGAGTTAGCTTCACAAGCAATTAAAATGTTCCTGTTTTTTAATGGACATTAAAAATTTTCAAGGATATTTAGATTAATCTAGAATCAAAAAATTAAAAATATTAATACTAAAAAGGTTAATTATTTATTGTTAATTCATATGAATATATAATTTTTAAAGTAAATTTATTGGAAAAACTTTCGGTATAAATTTGATATTTTGTACACACAATGTTTTTTTTCATGATATTCTCTCGAAGTAATTTTCTGACAATTTGTATTTTTTCTCGTTAGCTCACAAATTGAAATATAATACAAAAAAAATATTGTTCATTTTTTTTCTTTTTGAAACATTCGAAAAGGAGAATAATGAAATTGTTTTTGAAAAAAAAAAACTTCTTTCTGTTAAAAATATTAGCCTTGATATTTCATTTATTTGATTATCAATATATTTTACGATGTTCAATATATAAGTAAGAATATTTTGAGAAGGTTTTTAAATAATGTATTACATAATCACTAATTTTAAAATATTTATTCATAAAATATTGTAATAAAACTTTATCGTGAATACAAGAAAAATCGAGGGAATTATTTTATGTACAAAAAGTTATCTAAAACCTAAAAATGGTATTTATTCTCAACTAGAATACCTGTAGTTTTCAATGAATCTTTAACACAGCTTTATTCTGTAAACTTTTATCTCAAATATTTTTTAACTGTCATGTACTTTCAAAAATTCGAAATATTTTACAGAAATTTAATTTGCAATCATCAATGATTCAAATTTTGATGAGTAAATTTTAACACATTATTAAAGAATATAGCGAAAAACAAATATTATTTCTAACTAAAATAACTTATTGTCAAAGCAACTTAATAATTTATTTTTATTTTTACAAGGAGCAAGCATTTTCAAAAAAGATTCCCATTTCAAATTGAAATCTGAAAGTGTTACAATGAGAAATTTTTACGTTTAGCACAAATGCCAATTCATTTCAAAACTAATCTTCGAATTTTTTTTTCTACATTTAAATAAGTAACTGAAATTTTAATTAGAGTTTGAAAAAAAACTTTCAATTTAACTAAACAAGCACTTGTAATAAATTTAGTTTAAATAATTTTGATAATTAGTATTTAAATATATGTCTTATTTCTTTAAAGAAGGCCACACTTTCTTACTTCCCAATATAATTATGTAGGAACTAAACTTCATATTTATTGAAATTGGAATCTAAAAATTATGAGATGAATAACTTAATTCATATCCCCACATCATCTGCTATTATCTGGAACATAACTGAGTTCGGATTTCACATAGGATAAGAACTTATGCTTAATTTTTGTACATTTCCTAGTTCTTATTTGAATTAATATAGAATTTATACACTTATACAATTTGTTCTTTCAGCCCCAACCCTATGACTTCGGATATGAGACCAACGATGACTACGGCACCACCACCTTCCGAAAGGAAAGCGGAGATGGTCACGGACGAGTCCA